CTGGGGGATATCCAGGGCTCACTGTACTCTTGGGAACTGCTTTCCCTGCTTTGCTGGGGGATTTAGTTGTTTTGGAAGTTGAGAAATAATGTAAACCTCTGCCTCAGTCAGAGAGGAGATTGCTCCGATGATACTAAGAGTAATTTCACATGATTCATTTTTGAATAACAGCTATATACATTTTGCTAGACAAAGTGAAATTTTAGTTACTCTAAGGCTTTATTTTTTCCCACATGTATGTGGCATTATCCTGGTGGGAGGGACAAGATCCATTTGTTACTGGTGCAGGATCAGAGCTGTGAAGTGCCCTGGGTTTACTGAGCTGGCTGGGGAGGAGTTGCTCACCATGCAAGCACGTCCTGCAGAGCAGCTCCCTGCTCAGCTTTGCCTGTGCTGTGCCCAGTGCCTGCAGGGGAAGGGGATTCCTGTGGAAGCTGTTAGGCAGCTTGTGGAACAGTCAGAAACAGTCATTTCCTGCAGGGGAATATCTGGGATCAAGAGGTCAGGAGTGCAGGTATTGAGAAGAGCATGGACAATTTGAGAGCACAAGGTAGTCAAAAGCCATTGTGGAACATTTTTTTCACTCTGCAGAGCAACTCTCACTTAATGTGCTGTCACAACATGGCTGTGGCCGTTCTGTTCCAACACAAATTGTCCTCTGTGTTTGCTGTTTTTGAGCAGTGTTCATCCTTCCTTTTCATTTTCACCAAATGTGAGTCTGTTTTCGTACAAAATAAAACTCAGCAACGTAAAGGTATCAAAATGTGTGGATTCCAGTAACAGCAGGAATATTTACCTATCAAAAATAACATTTCAGCCCATCAGACTTCCTAGGAAAGGAGTGTGGGCTGAGCCAGACCTGGTGGTAGCTGCCTACTGCATCTCTCCTGCTGTTACTTATGCTGGCTGTGGTGCAGTTGCTTTCTCTCTACTGGCACATGAGGTTCCACTACACCTTAAATAGTTTGCAAAGAAAAATGGCACTCATAAAACAAATTCACACACTGTACAGAAGAGTAAAGTAAGACTTAGTGCTCCTAGGAGTATAGCTGCAGTTCTTCCATTTCTATTGCAGTTTTGTCTCACAGCTGTTCCCCACAACAGGATTCTTAGCCAGTGCTTGCTATGTACAATAGCTGTTCCTAGGAGCAGCTAATGCTAGAGTTCTAGAAACAGAGGTAAAATGTTTCTCTCTATGTTACTGAACTGTCTGTCATGTGACCAGTTTCTTTAGTAACTCTTATTTAACTGTTTCCTCTGTCTAATCTGTCTTCATTCTGCCTCTTTTTTTCTCTTCTAACCTGCTTGCTGCCTGTACAGACCAACTCTACCAGCAACTTGAGCAAAACAGTCGCCTAACTAATGAACTAAAGCTGGCATTGAATGAGGATTAAACTTTAGTGGGACTATGTTGTTAACTTGTTTGAAACCACCTTCTTCCAAATTTCCTTTAAAAATGAATCAGTAATTGTAGAAATAAGCAAGAAACTTAAACATTTAATTTTTTCCCTGTTAATTCTGTGGTAAATTAATGAAAGAAATTATCTTGGGAAAATATGGAAATGCTTCTTCTGGATGAGGCTTTTCATTCTGTGTCTGCACATCTATTTTGGAGGAGCACTAAGCTCTTCTGCTGTGCAGTAGTTTCTTTCTACTTAAGTAAAGAGCTACAGCATTTCACTGACAGTATTCAAAAAATAACAACCTGTGTTGCAGAAAGGCACTCACTTTATCCAACATGAATTGGCCCTAAGATTTTTACCACAGTGAGAGAAAAATATTCACTAGAATCCATATTTCTGTATTTCAAAACCCACTTAAAGGATACTACAGCTGTTTTGTCTGGAGACTTTGATAAGATAATTTTGCCTTACTATGAATTTGGCTTGTATTTGACATAAAAAAAAAAAAGAATGGGAGCTCCATCTGACAATACCCAATGAGTTAAAGGTATGCCTGCATAGTATGAAGTTACTATTACTGGATTCTGGTGGGATGCACCACCAGAACATTTTGCTCATTTATTGTATTAACTATGTGTGTTAAGTGATTGTCCTATAAAAGTGTGCATGCAACATAAGGCTACTAACTTAGAGTTAATTTATTTTCTAAAGGAAATAAATTTCTTAAAGGTCACTTCACTGAAAACTAAAATAGTTTTAATTTTTTTGTTCTTTGTGTTTTTGAAATCTATGAAACTATTAATTGTGTAGCTGCAAAGAACTTATTTTCTTTATTGCCTACTTAAAAAAAGAAAAAAAAAAGCTGCTTTTTTTATCTTACTTATAAGCAATGAGTTTCCAGAGTTTCCAACTCTCTGTTGGCAGTGCATTTTCTTAACAAATGCAGCTGTGAACAGTTCCAAATTTGCATTACTTGCTGTTTGTTTTATTAATTTGGAATTCTCTCTAGTTGTGTTATCTGGAAACATTGATATTTATGAGCATGCACATTTCTTAACTTTCTAAACCCTCTGAGAGAAATGATGATTGCATGCCTTCATGTTCAGTGCCTCCAAAGAACTGCTATTCATGTTTTAATTTTCTAATCCCACAACAGAGAAAGTGGCGCATGCCAAAGAAGAAAACCTTAATATGCATCAGATGCTGGATCAAACTTTACAGGAGTTAAACAACATGTGAAAACCTTCTTAGTGGCAACCACACTATTTGTTTGTTTATTTTTACACCTGCTTGCCGTGAAGCCCCATAAACATGTCTTTATTTTAGTTTCACCAGTCACAAGAACATCTGCTAAATTATGGAGCAGGGGTCAGGGAAACACCAAAATGGGCAAGCCATATGCGGGTTAAATGACATTACATTATGGTTTAAACGTGCCATTTCCCAACAAAAATGTTACCTACACTTTGTAGAGAGTTCAGCAATTTGGTATGCAATTTTCAGCAATTGCTTAGTCTTTGAAGAATCCTGGCTGTGGCAGAAAGTGTCCCACCTCAAGTGCCAACTACAGTTTTTACACAAGAAGAATGATTCGTGTCCCAGAGAAATCAGGTGGAAATGGTGCTATTTTGAACAAAAGGTTCTACTTGAAGTCTTTTGTTTGATACCAGACAAGTCAGGAGTTGTCCAGCACAGTAATTTATTTTTATCAGAACTTGACTGGTCTGTGAGAATTTGGACTTTCTGTGCCTTCTAATTCAGTAAAACGAAGATATATAAGCAGTGGAGACAAGTGAAGGCTTCTGAAGGTTTTAAATTGTATTCTTGCAACTCAATACAGAAGTGTAGGTCAGCATTTCACCTTGAGTTTTCATTCGATTGTATTTTTCATGTTGAAATGAAAGATTCAATAAATTCAGGACAAAACATTAATTTGGAAGAGATTGTGTTAAAATGTATTTTATTTGTGGGGGTTTGGGGTAGGGGAGGAATTTTTAAACAGATATTTGCCTCACTTTTTTCACACTTTCTTTGAGCAGTCTTAAAAATATACCTGTATGTAAACATTGTATAATGATATGAAATAAAATGCACATTTTAGGACATTTTGTAAATCTTGTCCTCCTGTGGTTTGTTTTTCATCACATCAGTTTCCTGTGGGTTGTGCAGTGTCTCTCATGCTGTGGATCACTGGTAGCACACTGGCTCTGGGTTTTTGCTGCATTGTTAGGCCCAGGTGTGGAAATGGGGTGCTGTGGACAGATGTGGATGTGCAGGGATGCTGTGGACAGATGTGGATGTGCAGGTGTGGAAATGGGGTGCTGTGGA